AGATGTCCAAGCTACTAAAGTCTGAAGGTGGATCAGGAGGTGCCTTAGATTACGAAAAGAGTCCGTATCTCGCGCGCAAGCAGAGCCGCAAAGATGGGAACAAGGAGAACACGGAACCCAGTGCGACAGCAACTGTGGCCCGCAAGGATAGCCTCAGAAAGGCGCATAGCACCACGGCCGATTGCAGTGCCATCAAGCAGAAGACCACAGAGGCCTCCATAGCAGACATTTACACCGCCACCTTAAATATTGCGATGCGGGCGAGTGGAAATGTAGGTGCAGCCAAGGATTCGTTCCTCAATAACAACAATAATAATGCCCAGAATGGCGGAGGTAATCCGCCGCCGCCGAGCTACGAAGCCAAGTGCTATATCGAAAACGGACGTATTAACTTTGGTAAACTCATCACAGACGAGATCATGTCCGCCGACTACAAGCTGGTGGAGCAGGCCAAGCGAGCGGTTAGTACAATAGATCCTTTAATAATACACATTTTTAATTATACTTCTTTCTCGACAACAGACCAACATTGCGGGCACCACCGCCCTGATAGCGATTGTCCAGGGCTCCAAGCTGATTGTCGCCAATGTGGGTGACTCTCGGGGTGTCATGTACGATTCCCGGGGCATTGCCATACCCCTGTCCTTCGATCACAAGCCCCAGCAAGTGCGGGAGCGAAAGAGGATCCATGATGCTGGCGGATTCATTGCCTTTAAGGGCGTATGGCGCGTGGCCGGCGTCTTGGCTACGTCGCGTGCACTCGGTGATTACCCGCTGAAAGATAAGGTATGGGATGATTATTAAAATCTTGATTGTATATATTGTATATATATAAATGACACACTTTTAGAATCTGGTGATTGCCACGCCGGACATCTTGACATTTGAGCTGAATGATCACAAGTAAGTGTCGTTAAACTGAAATTAGAACTTGCACATACGTTTTGTTTTCAAGATTCGTTTTGTTTGTTTGTTTCTAGCAACAACATTCTCTTTTAGATCATTGTTTATATTTCTGAACAGAAACTAATCTTAGATATTCAATAATGCAAAACTCCACTATTGCACTGTACTATTAAATAATAGTTAATTTAGATTTTTTATTTATCCTGTAAAAAACCCTTAGAAAATCGATTTTATTAATATATTTTATTTGTAGACCCCGCTTTCTTATACTTGCCTCGGATGGCCTTTGGGACACATTTAACAACGAAGAGGCCTGTACTTTTGTCCAGGAGCACCTCAAGGAGTCTGACTTTGGGGCCAAGTCCCTGGCCATGGAGTCGTATAAGCGCGGCTCTGTGGACAACATCACCGTCCTGGTGATTGTCTTCAAGAACGATGTCTATAGGATTGGTAGCAGCAGCAGTGCGGCGGCGCCAGAGGGAAAAGTTGGAGGAGAAGGCGGAGATAATGCGCTAAAAGTGCCAGCTAAATCTCAGCCAGCAGCGGTTGTGCAACGCTCGAATTCAATCAAAACCAAATGAGACTATTACTTGTCTCACAAAAAAAGGAAATAACTTATAATGAAGAAAAACAAACGAAAAGTGCCCAAAAAAATATTTATAGTTAGGCGTTTTTTATGCTACAAAAATATTCTTTGTTTTTCTGTTTACTGTTCCCTAAGACATTCAGCATTCACATATGTATCATTCATGGCTCCCCATTATTGTCTCTTGATCTTGATTAAGAATGTTCACTGTTCGCTTATTTTGTTTATTCACTCGACTTGCAACACACATCACATCAGAAACTGAGATCACAGTCATCATGCATCATAAATCTGTCGTAATTTAATTATTTAATTTATTTGTTATGCTCTTGTAAATTATAGAAACATTTTCTAACTCTTATCGCGAAATGTGTTTACAAAAAAATAAAAAATAAAGCATGCAAACGAAATACGACAATTTCGAGATGCTATCTTAAATCTTTAACTTGTGTTCGATTTATTAAAAATAAAATGGGAATTCTAGAGTAAGGATTGGTTATTTTTAATAGAAATTTGTGTAACTTAGCAGGGTGTTATAGATTTAGTCAAAAGCCATACATATTATTGATCAGAATTAGCAGGCGAATCTTTCTAGCTATCTCCGGTTAAACATTTTTTTTATCAAAATTTTACATTGTTAAAACTGTAAGAAATTCGAAAATTTTTAAATTCCTTAACATTTTAAATTAAGTATGCAGATTTATCAACCTAGTCAAAACTAACATGGAATAGCTTTCCGAATTGAAATTAATGCATTTTTGGCTTAATTATGAGTTTTTTAAAATTTGATTTATAGACAAAATTGTCTAATAAATATCGACTCAAAAAATAGTAACATAACTTTAGTTAGAAGCTTGTAAAACTATGAAGGATTAATTTCCGACCCTATAAACCATAAATATTCTTGATCAGAATTAGCAGGCAAATCTTTCTACCTATCTCCGGTTAAAAATAAAAATTTGGAATTTTTTCAATTTTTTTTGTCAATATTTCACATTGTTAAAACTATTAAAAATGCGAAAATTTTTAAATTCCTTAACATTTTAAATTAAGTATGCAGATTTAACACCCTAGTGAAAACTTACATAGAACCGCTTTCCGAAGTGAAATTAATGAATTTTGGGCAAAGTTATGAGATTTTTAAGGTTTCATTTGTTGAAAAAAATTCTCATATAAATATATCTCAAAATTCAAATGGAAATTTTTATAATTTCCGATTCGATCCTATAATTCAATTGAAAACTTCAAGGGTATATATATTCTTAATGATTATCTTACGTTATCTGCTTTAATTCTTTACCATACATTCATAGCTTTCTATAACTTGAAAAACAAAAAAACGCAAAGCAATTTTAAATTAAATCATATGTGAAAAATCTACCCATATCTGTTATATTTATTCATAATATATATACTAATCTAATTAATCTTAAACCCACAATTAAGTCCTCACAAAACTTTTTAAAGGCCGTTAAATTTTATTTTTGTTCACGTTCTAAACAAACAATTCCACGACCTGTACAAAAATAGTCAGTAATTTAGTGAGCCGAAACGGACACTTGCCAGACACGGATGGTGTTGTCCGAGTAGCCGGCGAACAGAGTCTGACCATCGGTGGACCAGGCCAGCGACAGGCACTGGGGCTGATCGGCCTTGGATGTGGGCGAGACGACCTCGGGGCGCAGCTCCTCGACGGTCTTCTTGCAGGCGAGATCCCAGATCTTGATCGAGGGACCGTAGGCCACGCACAGCCAGTAGCGGTTGGGCGAGAAGCACAGGGCATTGATGATGTCGTTGTGCTCCAGGGTGTACAGGTTCTTGCCGTCATTCAGATCCCACAGCAGAGCCTTCGAGTCCTTGCCACCGGAGGTGCACAGGGAGCCGTCGGGCGAAACGGTCACGGTGTTCAGGTAGCCGTTGTGGCCGTGATGGTTGTTCTTCAGCTTGCAGTTGGCCAAGTTCCAGACCTTGACGGTGCGATCCCAGCCGCAGGACACGATGATGGGATTGGAGTGGTTGGGCGAGAAACGGACGCACGACACCCAGTCGGTGTGGCCATCCTCCTGGATGGTGAACTTGCACTCGGCCAGGGTGTTCCACAGCTTGATGGTCTTGTCCCGAGAACCGGAGACAATCTGACGGTTATCAGCCGAGAAGGCAACCGATAGAACGTCCTAAAAAGCGATGGAAAGAGTTTAAGATTAGTAATAGATAATGGAAGGATTTTAATTCCGGAAAAATTAAAATATTTCGCAGTATTTATGCAAACTGTATTAAATTACGTGCTTTTACAGAAATCAAATAATCTAAACAGTCTACAAATATACCACAAATAGTACAAAAATAAATCAAATCGGAAGGGTTATTTTGATTGATTTTTTGCTTTTGTGCCTACTTACGAGAGCGCTTCAAGAGAGCCAAGACTCGGGGCGAAGGGTAGAGTTTACAGATGTCAACCAGAAATTCTGCCTCGCATAGGCGCAATATTGTTTCTTTCGATTTGTGAGCGCGGCAAGGGCGGCATTACAACCTAACCTCACACTCCTAACCTTACATTTTTCACTTGCCACTTGCCGGCGTCACTAATCAGTTGGAAAATCTCAGGGTCCCTCACAGGAAAAACTACCAATTCAAAAAGGAATCTTATCCCACCTTGGTGTGTCCCTCGAAGCGGCGAGTGGTCTTGCCGGCAGCCAGATCCCACAGGCGCAGGGTCTGATCCCAGGAGCCGGACAGGGCGTAGTTGCCGTCGGAGGAGAGCACAACGTCGCTGATGAAGTGCGAGTGGCCGTACAGGCGCTTCTGGGGGTAACCGTAGTTGGTGTCCTCATCGCGGGTCAGCTTCCAGACGATCAGGGTCTTGTCTGCAACGTAAAACAACAACCATTAACAAATGTCCATTGATGGCGCAGATATCCGCGGATTTGCGACGCCCTCAAAGTGCTTCGTGGCTCGACGCGAAAATTTCACTCACCACGGGAGGCCGAGATGATGGTGTCGGGATCCTTGGGGTTGGTGGCGATCTGGGTAACCCAGCCATTGTGGCCGATCAGGGTGCCGCGCAATTGCAGTGTCTCGGACATCTTGGTATAATAATATTTCGCAGGGCGGTTGAAACACGTCCAAGGGCGCTGCGAGCTGGCGGAAAAAAGAGGCAGTTCCGGTTACTAGAGGTGCAACAACATCGATATAAACATCGATCTATCGATGTTTTTGGAATTTTCTATTATCGATGTTTTTTGACCATCGATGTTTTGAAAAACTTTCGGTTTTTAAACGTTTACAGATACATGGGGTTGAATTCTCAAGTAGGATGTAAAATTCTTTCTTTGAGCGTAAATTAACCAAATTCTCTTGTGAGAGAGAGCTAGAATGAAATAGTGGTGGCGAAGTATCCGAGCACTATCGATGCTACGTTATTTATATCTATTTTAGCAAAGTTCTCTACCAGCATATTGTGTGAATGTCAATTTGTATGTTTTCCAATGCCTTGCTCGGTCACACTGTTTTTCCATCGCGCGGTCACATTGCTTTGTTAATCGTGTCGTCGTCGCTTTGTGAACAAAAAAACTCGAGGAAATTACCCGAATCGACGAAATTTCTGCCTAATTCGACTGGGCACGAGCACACCTGTGTGGAGCTAAACGGAGTGAATACGCGACTGGCCATCGAGCTTCAACGAAAGTTGACACTTTTCCTGCACCCCCGAGTTGAAAAAAGCCGTCAAAATTGAATCGACAAAGATTGACGAGACTTTTTCTTCCACCACAACTGCAATGGAAGATAAAGCAACAACAAAAGATCTTGATCAATGGATTGAGCAGTTAAATGAATGCAATCAGTTGACAGAAACACAAGTTCGCACCCTCTGCGACAAGGTAAGCATCCGGTCCTCGCCCATTTTCCCCGTCCGAATAGGAGTTTAAAAATAATTTTTCATCATTGCATGCGAGAGATTTTTTTTGCAAATGGTGCTCCGCTGCGTGCCTCTGCCCCTCTCGCTCTTTCGCCCACTTGGTTGGGCATGATTCATGTCGGACGCTCTCGCTCGCACAGTAGCGGCGGCGGCGGCTTGCGTCGCCATATTGGAATATTGGTAAATTCCAACAGCCAAGCGGCCCATAGGGCTGCACGGGTGCGAGTGAGATGTCGCTAGGAGCAAGTGCGTGCGTGAATGCGACAGCTAGAACAGCGCCTTGGTCTAATGGGCTAAACCTCGGCAAAAAAAAAGAGATATTTTACAATATACAATTGTTTAGCTTCCACCAGCGCAGGTGATAAGTGTTGTTGTTGTGTCCGCTGGAAATTTCGCACGCAGCCTTGCCCCCTCACCCACCGCTGCTCGGCTGCTGTGTTCAAACGGTTTTTCGCTGAGTAAATATTACTTAATGTTTTTGTGTGTTGGTGTGTGCGCGCCCCTAGAATATGTATCTATGTACCCGCAATCGGTCGGCCGTCGTATCTAGAATTAAAGTGCATTTGGCTTGGTGTTTGTGACCGTGTATATATTAGCTGCTGTGTGTTTTTTTAAGGTTCAGCATTATTGAATTCAATTAAAACACTCGGCGCTATCAATTGTTTTTAATTTGCCTGCCAATTTTTACCGTTTATCGCGGCTCGCACGCACACATAAAAACAAACAAGCGGAGGAGTGGAGCGCGGCGAGAGAGTGCGAGGGAGAGCGAGTGCTGGCGTAAGAGAGGGGCAGACAGATAACGATTCATTGATTCGGGAGTAAGTAGGGTTATGTTTGCGTCACCAAAATATTTGGTCTGTGTGTTCCCATTAGAATCGTAGAAGAATCTGTCTGTCCATCGATCAGAAGAACGTTCTCCGCTCTACGCGGGTGCGTCTTTCTTGGTTGTTATTTCTTCCTCGCGTTCGTTTTGTTGTAGCGGAAAAGGGAGAGCCGCCCCCGCGCCTGCAGTTGTTGTGAGTTTGTGTGTGTGTGTGTGCTGGCCTCGTCATGAGTTTATATTATTTATTTAATTTTTTTTGTTTCGATTTCTGGGCAAGCGGAAGCAACAGTCGTCAAGGTAATGCAAAAAAATAGCAAAATCTAATTGGTACACACGCATAATTCTCTCATTTCTCGGCACTTCTGTTCCGGCCGGAACTTGTTTTCTTTATGTTCCATTTCATCAGCTTGCAGATTATGGGAAATGCCAAGAACAAGTTGAAATTCGGTGCTATAAAGCCCAATTAAAGTCCATCAATTGTGCGGATGCATTTATCCGCTTTTAGTTAAATAAAATTCAAAAGATTTGTAATGTTAAATAGGAAATGTGTTTAAAACTAATAAGACTATTTCTGTGTCCAATTTGATAGCTTTAATTCCCCTTTATTTTCCATATAAATTCGTATTTACTTCACTTCTCTTCGTTGTTTTTCTTTGTTTTGCTTTTCATGTGCCATTTATTAGCACCTGAGAAATATGCGGCAAATATATATAAGCAAAATGTATACAAAATGAGATGAGTCCAGGTTCTTTGACTTGTCAATCGGCCTCGCCCTCGCCCTTTGCCAATGTTTTTTATGAACGAACAAGTGGCCAACTATTTTTGGGAATCACTTTCGATTTTTTTCGTTACTTTCGGACTTTTGTTGCTTGAAGAAATTCTTTCTTGTCATGCATCTTCTGAAAGATACTTGTTATTTTTTTTTTATTTATTTCAAATTTTTTTACGGAATAGGAAAAAAGTGATTGTTCAGTTTGAGAAAATTCCATTAAGTGATGCTGATTGTATACATGGTTCTTTTTTATGCTCAGGGCTTTATCGTCTTTTATTTGTGGCCAGCTATATTTAGATTCATTTTGAAGAGTTTCCGAGTTTATCTCGCACAGTTTGTGAAGAGAAAACCATTTAATTATTCCCTCTATTTCTCAATTTGTCTTGAAACATTCGGTTGGTCGTTGTAGTAGGCACACTGCACTTAGCCTATATCAATGTTTTATCTTCTCTGCTAGTTACAAGCTATTTTTAGCAGCCACTAAGTGTTGGCGTTGAGTCATTTGCGTTGTACATTATTCAGCGTACTTACTAATCGTTTTCTTTATCTTCTCTGACCATGATTTAGATCTTGATGAAATGAGGAATCATTTTTACTACAACTAGAGTAAACTTTACATTTGGCTTATGAAATAATATTGCTAATTGTTTAACAAAGAAACATATCAGCGTTAATGGTTATCGATTTGGCTTTTTACTGATAAGATATCAATATCAATATCAGAATTTTAATTGTGGTAATTATGATTTGTTTTGTGATATTATAAAAATGAACGTTCTAAGAGAATGAAATGTCCATTGGCTATATTTATTTGAAATACCAATATTAATCATTATAAAAAACACTTAGTTTTGAAATACCCCATGCTTATTTATATATCTATTGAATATCTGACTGATTATCCAATTTTTTCAGGCCAAGGAGATCCTCTCCAAGGAGTCAAACGTCCAAGAGGTTAAATGCCCCGTGACAGTGTGCGGCGATGTGCACGGTCAGTTCCACGATTTAATGGAACTGTTCCGCATAGGAGGCAAGTCACCGGACACCAACTACCTGTTCATGGGCGACTATGTGGACCGTGGTTACTATTCCGTGGAGACTGTTACCCTGCTGGTGGCCCTAAAGGTTCGGTATCGTGAGCGCATCACCATTCTGCGCGGCAACCACGAATCGCGCCAGATCACACAGGTCTATGGCTTCTACGATGAGTGTCTGCGCAAATATGGCAATGCCAACGTATGGAAGTACTTTACGGATCTGTTTGATTACTTGCCACTGACGGCACTGGTCGATGGGCAGATCTTTTGCCTGCACGGCGGCCTCAGTCCCTCGATCGACAGTCTGGATCACATTCGGGCCCTGGATCGTTTGCAGGAGGTACCGCACGAGGGTCCCATGTGCGATCTGCTCTGGTCCGATCCCGATGATAGGGGCGGCTGGGGTATTTCACCTCGCGGTGCCGGCTACACCTTTGGACAGGTGAGTAACAGATGACAGGAGGAGCAATGATGAAGGATGAAAGAATATGGTTTGGTTAATTGAAATTACTTAAAAGTGGGTTCAAAGCAGGCATGTTTTGAGCCAAATATACCGCAGATGGTTGAATTTAATCTCTTGACAAGTTTAGAGCTACTTAAAACACTTAAAGTAGGCGTTTATAGCACTGATAACGACTAACACGAGTAAACTTTTTAACTAAGGCTATTTAGTCTATTATGTCATGTTCTTTGTCTATACAAAATAAGTTTAATTAAAGAATAAACCAGAAAAGAAGTGAGAAATTGTATTTAAATGACAAACAGATTTAATGACAATAAACCTATATAGTAATATATATAATATCGAATTATTAAATCACAGCTTTCCCAGCAGTTAAAATTCAGTAATCAGTAATCACTAATCGACATTTACGACCGAAATGCGCCTTTGATGATAACGCAATCTATAAAAACCCTTTTATTGATAAAGAAACGTATATTTAAGCTCTTTTTTGAAGGGGAATCCCTAAGGGTTTTAATAAATATTGCTAATAGAATAACAATTTTCAATAAATTATTAAAGAAGTGTATTTTAATCACAATCAGATTAATCTTATTAAAATAGAATACTATCTATTAGGGAATCCACAGATACTGATCAGGATTTAAAAGCACACAAACATGTAATATAAAGTCAGACTCTTCCATCTTTGAGTGTCTTTTTAAATCAATTTTAAATCTACATTAATTTTCCAAACCTTTACTAATTTCTTTACATAATTTCAGGACATTTCGGAAACCTTTAACAACACAAACGGCCTGACACTCGTCTCACGCGCCCATCAACTGGTAATGGAGGGCTACAACTGGTGTCACGATCGCAACGTGGTCACAATATTCTCAGCGCCAAACTATTGCTACCGCTGTGGCAACCAAGCGGCCCTTATGGAACTGGATGATTCACTTAAATTTTCATTGTGAGTATTCGGCATTCTTCCCCAAAAAAATGAATCATATTTGTAATCTTTGGCTTCCCCCAATTATTTCAGCCTACAATTTGATCCAGCACCACGTCGCGGTGAGCCTCATGTTACACGAAGAACACCCGATTATTTCCTTTAAGCTGGATCGCTCGCACCTATGCAGCTTTACATTAACACATATTTACATCGCATAACAACAACAACAACAACAACCAGAACCGAAAAAAACAAACAATATATTAATATATACAAATCCAACAAATGGCAAAAACAAAAAAATATACAACAAAAAAAAACCATACAAAAAAACACCATAAAGAACCCGAAACTAAAAACCTCGATGCATTTGTTTTGTGGCTGAGATATTGTATAAAAAAGAAAGGAATGCAAATTTAACCATAACAGACGCAAGAACATACAAATGCATTGAACAACATTTTATTGTTTGTTGTTGGCGTCGCCAGCGGGGGCGGCGTGCCTGGAAAGATATATCAAAGATAAATTGGGGAGAAGCAGGAGCAGTATATACAGAGCCGCTGATACAATCCAATCCAATCAAACCTACCAACCAACCAAGCAAGCAACCAGAAGAACTACAACTACTTAGCTAAATTTGTTAATTTATAAAAATAACGAACTAAGCGCCGCAAGCAGGAAGCCAGAGGAGGAGAAGGACCCGCAGCAGGCAGGAATGATGGATGGATGGATGGATGATTATGACGTGACGTGATGTGTGCATGGGGTTGCGGACGGGTTGGATGACGGACGAACGCCAGGACGAGCAGCAGTAGCAGTGGACCCAAGCATAAAGATAATGATGAAGCAGCAGTAAACGGCAGCAGCGGGGAAGCTTGGGCGGGCCAGCGATTCACACAAAAACAATTATAAAAGAAAATAAGGAAATACAAATAAAACGTTTAATATTACTGATTAAAATTAAATAAAAAAAGCGAATAAAATTATAAAAAAAGAACAAAAGCAAAACAAAAAAAGGAAGAAAACCGATTAAAAAAATTCATTATCAATTAAGTTCATATGTAACTTTAATAATAATAAAACAAGAAAAAAACAAAACACGAGCGAAACTTCATGCAGACGAAGAGAACGAAGGAAGAGAGTGGCTTTCTCTCTTAAGAGAGTAAATATCCCCTCAAGAGATAAAGTCCCGTAAGAGCGAATATGGAGCAGAGGCTTTCCTGCCTGCCTGGCAATGCCATTTCCCTTATGTCCTGCGGCGTTTCCTTGGTTGTATGGAAGCCTGGCAAAGATAACACATCGTGGACAAGGCGGGCGGAAGTTGAGCCTCAAAACGGGCGGCCACCTAATTGAGACCACAAAAGCGGGAGGCGTGATAGATGGGGGCCAAGCAGGAGCAGGAGCCCGTGATATATGGACAGCTGGGGCGAAGGTGGAGCCGGATGGGCCAGGCCAGGACGGGATGCAAGGCGATGCCCGAAAGTCGAAAAATCTAAAATCAGAGCCCAGGCCGAAGGCGTATGCCTGCCTTTTTGATTTTCCCAGCGAAAGCGAAAGCTAAGAGAAATCTTTGCCAACTTTGTATAATATTTTGCATATTTTAGAAGCTACACATGAGCAGGGCAGAACTTGGGAGTACAGTGGTCACTGGTCATGTTGTTTCCGTGTTTATTTTATTTTTTATTTTATTTTACTGCGTGATTTTTAACGTTTTTATATGATTTTATAATGAAAAGACTATTAATGTGACATGTAATTTTTTAAAGTATTAACTTGTATCTGTTTTCAAAATGTTATTTATATTCCCTATTGGTCAGATTAAAACATATGTATATCGCAATTTATATATCATTTTTTGTTTTAAATATGTTTTTATTATGAAAAGCTTATAAAAATTACAGTTTTTAACTAAGTGAAAATGTGTTTTAATTTATTAAAGTATAATTTATACGTTTTGTACATTTTTAAATATGTTTTAAATATACGAATCAATAAATTTATTTATCTCCTTAAATATGGAAAAATCCACATTTTCTGCTTTCACAAGGGTAGCATAATTAATTTTCCATAGCTTTCCCTTAAAGAATTTCAATAATAATAAACTAACTTCTGAAGTTTCTAAATGAATCCTTGACATTAATTTAAAATTAATATTACTTTCTGGTTTAATAAACAGCAAAATCCCTTAAGCCCCTCGAAACAAGGTTATTACATATATTTCCGTTATAATTCCTGAATCAGCAGATTGTACTGTGTGTTGTTGTTGGAAGGAAATTCAAATTTCAAAACATGCTCGGGAGTCGGGACTCTCAAGTGCCAAGGAACTTGTACCTCTTCCTACCGAGACTTGTCATCTATCATGGTCCCAAACAAACCCGAAACCAGAGAGGGAGAGGGAGAGAGAGAGAGAGAGCTACTGCTCCAAGGCTGGAGACTGGAGTGGGATGGGGAATGGGGGTAATTGTCGCCCCGGCTGGATGCTGCGAGGGGTTAAGGGCGGTGGGATTTTTGGGGGCCTCGAGCAGATTGTATTTGTCGTGCGACGGCAATGGCGACTGCGGCGTATGCGACATGGAAAATCCATTATCACGAAGTGAATTTTTACTGAAAAATTTACATACCCACTCCAGGCCCCCCGCAGTCGCTCATATAAATGTGAAAATAAATCCTGAGTGCGTGTTCAAGGGGCAAACCGAGGGCGTAGGGATAGGGATGCTGCTCACTCAGCCCAGCTTCTCCGGCATGAATATAACCCACAGAAAAAATACAACTCTATTTGATGGCCTGTTATTAAGTAAAGGAATGCCAACAGGCAAAAGTTTACCATGGCGCAAGGCAAGAATCCTAGGTTGATTTTGTATTTAATTAAAGGCATAAATTCAAAACGATGGTCCCTCGATTTTCTACACCACAAAGAATTTCCTATAGGTAGGAGTTTATAAAATTAATACAATTTTGGTATAACTATAAAAGATTTCGTTGACATTTGATTAATAATATTTAAAGAGATTTTTTTTAATATAAGCTTCTGATAACTCTGTTAGGTTCATTTTTATAACAATAACAATTTATAACAATTTCAGTCAAAAGCTGGTATTTATGTGAAGGATTCATTTCCGACCCGATAAACCATATATAAAATTGATCAGAATTAACAGCCGAGTCGATCTAGCTATGTCCGGTTAAAAACATTTTTTTTTAATTTTTTCAATTTTTTTTGTCAAAATTTTACATTGTTAAAACTGTTAAAAATTGGAAAATTTTTAAATTCCTTAACACTTTAAATGAAGTATGCAGATTTATCAACCTTACAAAATCTAACATAGGAAAGCTTTCCGAATTGAAATTAATGTATTTTTGGCTTAGTTATTGTATTTTTAAGCTCTACTTTTCTTACAAATTTTCATATTAAATTGTGGATAAATATTTACATTTTAGGGTATTCTAATTTCAGTCAGAAACTTGTAATTTTTAAAGGAATCATTTTCGACCCTATAAATCATATATATTCTTAATCAGAATTAACAGGCGAATCTTTTTAGCTATCTCCGGTTAAAATGAAAATTTTTGAATTTTTCTCAATTTTTTTTTGTCCAAATTTTACATTATTTAAACTGTTAAAAATTCGAAAATTTTTAAATTTCTTACAATATTAAATTGAGTATACAGAATTATTAACCTAATAAAAACTAACATAGGAAAGCTTTCCGATTCAAAATTAATGCATTTTTAGCTTAGTTATGAGTTTTTTTTAACTTTGATCTATAGGAATTAATGTCATATACCGGTAAATAATATTTATTAAATATTGCTAAAAAGAAGTTAAATATTTTTAGTTTGATAGATTTCCGATTCGATCCGATAATTTAAGAGCAAACTTACGTTCCTTTCTGGCTAAGTTTAAACTAAATACATAATAAAATCCGGTTACGCACTAACCCGCATTTTAACTATTCTAAGCTTAAGTCCATATTAAAAGTGCCTGTTTAACTATAGTTTATAAACCACTGATTTATTTCAAGTGTACATCCCGACTCTTGGTTAAAGATGATGGTCGAAAATGTTCGGACCATAAAACAAAAGTAAGTGAATCGGTATGATGGATACGGTTAAGGTTTGGGATGGGTTTCAGAGGGATGCGTGCGGAAGGTAGCCTAAATATTAAAAATTTAAATGAACTGCTCACTTTTTACGATTTTGTCCTTAGTTTACGACTGGTTTTCCGCCAGCTAGAAAGGGAGAGAGAGAGAGGGGAGGAGGCGTGCCCTAAACAAACGTTTTTCGGTATTTTTATCGTTTTAAGCGGAGACCAGAGGAGCGGTAATTTTTGGGGGCTAGTGTGTGTGTGTGTGTGTGTGTGTGTGTGTGTGTGAGGGATGCGATGGATGTATCTTTTACGATGCAAATTTGTTGCCATAAAATTGAAGAGTGTAACCAAAAGTGAAGCAGTGCTGCCTTTTGCCTAAATAAACTTTGCAGACTACAATGATGATGATGAGTTGCCATTGCCGCTACGCTTGATGATGATGATGCCCAGCCGCTCGTCTCCCTCCTCCATGGCCACGTGCTGAAGATTCCGGTGAAAAGGTTGAAAGGTCAGGCCCTGCAACACTCACACACGTTCTCCCTGGATGAAATTTGGGAGCTGGTAGCTGCGCCAACAGATCCAAGAGCCCAGATAGGAGTAAGAGAAGGAGGAGGCGGAGGCGAAAAATCAACGAAAATCGATTGCCGCTAAATACCCAAAAAAAAAAGAGAAGAAAAGTTACGGGGAGCCGTAGGAGTTAACGTAACGTTGTTAACTCAACTCAACTTGGCAAAAAAGAAAAAACAGCATCAAAGTTTTCCCCAGTTTGTTCTTCGTTTTTCTCGCTTGCTTTTCTTTATTGTTCTTGTTGTTCTTGTATTTTTTGTGGATAAATAAATCCCCAACGATTTGCGTCTCAGTCTCTGTATATATATATATATTTAAATTTTTTAGACTCTTCCTTTTTTTGCACTCGGCACTTGGGAGCTTGTTGAAAGGGTATATATTGGGAATTGGGGAAATCAAGTAAAGAAAGAGATAGAGAAAGATAGAGAGGGAATTGAAATTGTGGCACCTATTAAATTAAGTTTATTTTGGGTTAATTATTGAAGGGAAAATGGGTAGTTGTGTGAAAAACCAAAGAGCAAGCGGGGTTCTTTGAATAGAGCTTTTAAAATTGCTTATTGTTAGTTAACTAAACAGGTTGCTTAGTTTTAGATTTTAATCTGTATATATAAAAA